TCTACTGACTACCAGACACCTCAACACAGTGACAGCTCGACACACTGACTCTACTGACTACCAGACACCTCGACACAGTGACAGCTTGACACACTGCCACATGTGACAGACTTTCTGACTGTTTTCCACTCTTTTCACAGATGCATAGAGCTGTTGATGCTCATTCTGATAACAGACTTCCCTCTTCGCAGATTTTGGCATACTGGTGAACCAAATAACAGTGGTGGTCAAGAAAACTGTGTTGAGCTTCTTACAACTCTGGCCAAATGGAACGATCTTACCTGCTCAATGGTCAGGCAGTACGTCTGCGAGAAGCCCCTGTCCTGACCTGGCGTCCTGCCGGGGCTGGCGTCCTGCCGGGCCTGGCGTCCTACGCGACCAGCGCACATCAGGACCCAAGAGGCTTCTCTGCGTCCAGATCCTGGAGCTGCAGGGCAGACCCATTTCCTGGGCCGCCCCCGCTGTAGCTGTCGCCTGGGTCCTGCGCTGCCGGCACAAGGCTGGCGGGCAGAGGGACTGCTGCGACGCCGCGAGCAGAAATGCCCGCCGTGCCGCCTGCTGTCCCCGTGCCGTCTGCCTCTGCCCCTGCTCTGCGGTTTGCCAACAACACCCTCCTCCTCCTCCTCCCCACGGTCCTGCTCGCTAGCTGATTCTGTCTGCTGGCATGCTAGTGCCCCCCAAGGGGGGCGCTGTAATGCTTAAAGAACAAGAGAGAGGGGCACCAACCGAAATCAAATTCCTGCCCAGGGAGGTCCCTGACTGCTGGGCAGGTTAGAATCGCACTGCTCCTCCAGCTTTGCAGCAGTAGTTAGCTGTGTTGTTGTAGGCCGCGCTGTAGCCCTTTGCTCCATGACACACGAAGGGGTGTGTGCTCCTGCTGTTGCCCCAGTAGTTAAGAACCTGAAGGGGAGCTGCAGTCCCAGTTTCTCACACCCGTTATTAAATCTCGGGAGCAAAATAAATTAACTGACGGTACAGGAGAAAAAATGACCAATTCCGAGTCAAGCACAACATCATGAACTCTGTGAAAGTATTGTAACGCTTACGGCCGACAAGCAGTGTGTGTAAGAGCCGGCGTACCAGAGCGGGTGACGTCACCGCCCTTTCCCTGTGATAGCAGGACCACAGCTACTGGGCTGTGGAGAGATCTCTCTTTGGCTCACGGGGCTAGGTCGCTGCAGAGAGACGCGGAAGTCCCGGGTTCGAGCCTCCAGTCGGGATGGGGCCGACCAGATGCGGCAAGGGCGCCCGCCTGAGCCCCCGTTGCGTTACAGTATTCTATGTTGTCGCAAACCCCTGGTCGCACCACAGGAGAGAGCGAGAGAGCGTTCACGAGAATTGTGATGTGAAGCTTCCCTTCCTGCTCACTAGTGACTAATGTACTGCAATATACAGGCACATGAATACAGGCTGTGCAGCAGACACCCCCCCGACGTGATCTGGACACAGAGTTAACAAGCATTTGAAGGCAAGACTGTCACGAAGTCGAGAGCAATATGTCGTTCAGATTAAAAGAGCTGGACTCACAAGCCTGCTTGTTTGCAATGTCATAGAAGTTTTGTTGTCTCGTTCTGAATCACATTACATGGCGCTGCGCGTAGCTGGAAATTCCGTCTATTTTGTGATGTTAATTGGAGGTTTTACAAGTTACTGTGCACATTTTACTGTTGTGGTTTGAAATGCGCTCATCGATGCTGATCCTTTCTAACCTCGAAATACGAAAGTAGCGTCGCAGTTCCCCTTGAAGGACGCTCATAAACAGCAGGAAGGCATTCAGTCCATCTGGTATGATGGGTTGCAGCAGCTAATTGATCAGAGGACCTCTTCTGGCCTCTTCTTGAAGCATCCCAGGATATCAGTTTCAGCAGCATGTCTGGGCCTCCTGTTATCAGCTCCCACCACTCTTTGTGTAAAGAAGTGTTCCCTGATTTCAACCCTACATGCGCTCCCTCTAAATTCCCACTTGTCTCCCCAGATGCCTGTTAAACTGTAGCTCCCAAAGCAGTCCAGCAGGTGGAATTAGTCAATATCCGTCGACACTGCTTTTTACAGCTCACTGAACGTCTTGAAATGATCACTGTTGCTGTGTTGCGGTTGTTTTTTATTATTGTCACTCGGGTTGCTTTAAAGCTTGATTGAGATTTTTTTGTTGTGTATTCTGGGCAGCAGTGCTGTGTAGCCTCTTGCTGTGGTGGAACGTGTCTCATTCAATAAAGATGCTGAAAGAGCTTCACTCCGTGTTCTCTGATTTCTCAACAGCCAGACGAGGGAGGAGATGGCTGACTTGATAATGCAGCGTTCGTATTTCACGAGTGTGTCGCTACACACTGCATCAAGCATCAGTGCTTTCTACAGTGATATAAATTTAACTATAAACATTTCTCAGGACTGTGTCGCTGTGCACTGTCTGCATCTGTACACTGTGTCTCTGTACTCTGCATCTATATCTGTGCTCTGTGTCTCTATTTGTTTGTCTGTATCTGTACTCTCTCTCTCTATTATGTATCTGTACTCTGTGGGCCTCTACTTTGTGTGTATATCTGTACTCTGTGTCTGTATCTGTACTCAATGTGTCTCCACTTTCTGTATCTGTACTTTGTGTATGTATCTATGTGTCTATATTGTGTCTTTCTCTGTACAATGTGTACCTTTTTACTGTGTCTGTATCTCTCTATACTGGGCCCCTGTGCTGTGTTTGTACAGGTACACTGTATCTCTGTGCAGACTGGGCAGGACAAACAGAAGGGAGACCGAGGACAGACTAGGCTGAGTACAGTTCAGGCTGCGGACAGACTGAGGACAGAGTAGGCTGAGTACAGTACAGGCTGCGGACAGACTGAGGACAGACTGTGGTGAGGTCAGACTGAGGACAGACTAGGCTGAGAGGAGTCTGAGGGGGTTTCTGAGCCAGTACTGTATCCAGGTGCTGAGCTTCTCACACACATCGCCTCCTTCCTCCTGTCACTCATTAACCCAGGTCAGAATTTACAGGAAAAGCACTCGCAGATACTGATAGAAGGAAATCATATTCATGGAACAAACTGTTCTGTAGCAACGTCAGAATCGAATCTAAGATCACAGTGCACAGAGGATCACACTAATCTATACACTTGAATCACCCCATATACAGACAGAGACAGACAAACACAGAAAAACTGACTGAAACATACAGATACATACTGACATGCACACACGCAGACTGACACACACAGTACACAGACTGACACACACACAGATAAAGACACAAACAGACTCACTCAGGCACACACAGACAGACAGGTTTCGACAGAGCAGAGAGCCTGGTGTGTGTGCAGAGAGAGCTCTCTGTCCTTGACCAGGGCAGGCAAACACAGAAGCACACACACTCACACACGCACACTCGCTCACACTCACACACTCCTGCGCTGCTCACAGGCCTCCTGCAGTTCTGACTGGCTCAAGGCAGCTGACACTTTCCCACGGCAGGGCTGTGAGTCTCGGGGTGCAGGTGCGCCTCCTCTACTGTTGGCGATAAAAAATTTGGGGCTCGCGCGCCCCTGGGAACGTGCGCTGTGACCGCAGTGAGACACGCGAGGAAGAGGAAGATGATTCCAGCTCTACTTGTGCTGTGCAGCTTGTGTGTTGGAGTCCACGGTGAGGAAGGTACGTGTGGCTTTGCAATGGTTATTCCGGCTTTCCCAGACCCACAGAACAACCACACAACTTCTTCACAAGATTACACAACAGAACAACACCACAGACCCTGCCTCTGTGTGTCTCACCAGATCAAGGAGAGGGTCTACACAGTGGGAGAGCTGTCTGACAGGGTGTCCAAGGAGCCTGTTCAGTAGTTAGAAATTAACCACTCAAAGCTGTCACCCAGCTGTTTCCTGAAAGAAACCAGGGTATCGGCTTCAACAGCAAAGCTGGTACTTTGTTCCAAACTCCAACCACCCTTTGTGTAAAGAAGTGCCTCCTGTTCTCAGGGTTAAAAACCCTTTCACACCCTTTCCACTGGTGTCCTCTGGCTGGTGTTTCACTATTGATCCTGAAAAGGGGTGATGCCTCTGAGGATTTTGAACACTTGCATGAGGTCCCCTAACCTGCGGCCTCACCTCAGCGCCCTAGCTGAAGTCCACTGTGGGACGCCTCACAGGGGGGTCTTACAGTGATCAATGGAAACACTGAAATGAGGGGCAGGGAGATTGTGGCGCCCCCCTTGGCATCTAGTGGAACACGCAGCTTCAGAGAGGGGGGGCAAAAAATGTTTCCACCAGTAGCTGAGTTCAAAAACCGTGGAGGGGACCCCCTGTCTCAATACTTGTGCTGCCCGAGTGTTTGACAGAATGCCAGCTTTGGGGCCAATCTGGGGGCCACCTCGCTGTCTGAGCAGGGCCTCAGGGGCGAGGCCGGCAGACCCAGATGACTTGCAATGAGTCATCGATGGGGTCTCCTGGAACTCTTCAGGAACTCTTGCTCTTACCTGTGACCTCAGGGCTCCTGTCCTGGCACCTGGATGATGTCATCAGGGCCGTGGAGCTCACAGAGCGCTCGAACCCGGGGCTGGACATGCTGGGAATCGTGAGGACCCTGCGCAGCACGGCCAACCACGACGACAGCTTCCTTCGCCACTTCCTGGGGCCCCTCCCTGACGGCGGCCCCCCGGCTCGGACAGACGAGGCCACCCTGGCCCCAGCCTGGGACCACACCGGATTCGTCGCTGGGATGTTCCGCCACAGAGTGACCGCGGGCGGCCAGGAGGAAGGGGTGGTGCTGACACCGGACGGCACCACGACAGCCGTCGCCCCCATGTTGCTCGGCATCGAAGCTGGGCTACAGAGAAAGAGGGGCGCCCCGGAATCTGGGATTCCTGACGCCCTGTATTCCGTGACCCTGGCCAAAGACCTGGGCCTGTCCTTCGTACGTTTCTCAAACTCCCAGCTCGCAGGCCGGCTCGGGCCCGATGGCTGCTGGGACAGCCTGACCGCTCCACGGAACTTCACCCTCTCCGGCCCGCCGGCCCTGGCCACGGACGCGCTCGTGAACGGGGCGATGGACGGCGTGGTTCTGGGGGATCACCTGTCTCGCGAAGAGGACCCCCCTAAGCTGAGCCAACTCCTGAAGCTGTACTTCCACCACAATGGCCTGGCGCTGGATAGCGCCCCCAGGCTGCAGAGCAACTTCCGCAGGGGGAATTTCGGCAAGCTGGCCAATGCCACATTCTTGCAGGAGCAGATCGTGGCCTCCCTGTCGCTGTACAGGGGGCTGATGGGAGACGCGCTGCTGGAGGGGCTGGACTCGGCCGCGCTGGAGTCTGCGGTGAGGGAGGGTCTGCCGGAGTTTGTCCACCGCTACATGGGTGAGTGCCCGGGCTGCATTTCGCCATCTTGACCCACGTCAAGGGCATCAGAGCTGCCAGGCCACGAGCCTGAACCCCACTTCTAGAATTCACCTACTTTTCCGAACAAGAGGACAGGAGGACGTCTTAGGGTAGAATAAGAATTACTGGCTGCACACTTGATCCACTGACGCACACATCGGTAAAATCCTAGAAGCAACATCCTTTCCTCCTCCCTCCCAAGCACACTCTCGTTCTCTCTCACTGTCAGTGTGCCCTGCCATCATCCCTCGCTGCATGTGGGGCGCAGAGCCGTACCGGGGCACCCCCACTCCGCTGGTCCTGCCGCTGAGCTTCCTGTACATCCACCACACCTACGGGCCCAGCCTCCCCTGCCTGACCTTCCCGGACTGCGCCCGCGACATGAGGGCCATGCAACGCTTTCACCAGGACGACCGCGGCTGGGACGACATCGGCTACAGGTA